GGGAGGTTAGATATTTAAAGGACTTAGAGAATTTTCTGGACTTAGATATCTTATCTCTAAAATCAACAAAGGATGATCTGCCTCTGAGATGCTTGCAGAGCCATCGGTTTGGGATAGGGACAGATATTTTGGCTTGATAGTTTAACAAGGTGCTATGGGAGACTGCGTCGACTGCTCGACTGCTTTCGCGAGTTCAAGACACCAACCATATTCGTTAAGTTTCCTGATAGGAAACACAATAGCGAGAGTAAAGTGCATAGGGGGCTAATAGTGCACATTAGGTTTTCATATAATTCATATATTTTAATATAAATAAATGTTTCTGTAGCTTAGTAGTATAATTGCAATTTATTTCGTAGTCACATGAAAAAAGATTCATATAATGAAAGTTCATTTTCAATATGTATATATTGATAAAAATATAATATAAAAGTAATTATTTTTATTGATTATAAGTCCATGTAATCCCATTTATTTGGGATTATTATTGTTGGATTCTTATTAATTTCCCATAAAGCTTTTACCAATTATTGCTGCAGCCGAATAACTCGTAAATGTTTATATTTTCATATTAGTTTTCAGCTTGAGTCCCTTGAGTTCCTTAAGTTTATGAAAACAAGTGTTTCGAGGAAACTTTTTCATTGCTGCATCTTTCGCCGAATTGATAAGTTTCCAAAAACTTTGTTTATATCGTTCTGGAAAAAATTCATCAACCTGCACTGACATTGCTGCAGAGACACAACAGTACTTTTAATATGAAACAACATTTCGCCCAGAGTCAACAATCTACTAAATCACCCACAAACATAACAAATACACCAAGTCAAAGACGAGAAGAACAAAAAAAAACTCAGAAACTACATTACAAAAAAATGTAGAGTAAAAAAACTTTTAATCGATTTGTAGAAAGTTCAGTGAAAGTACATACACTGTTGGCTAAAATTGCCTTTGAGAAAACATAATTTAACACTGTCATTCGCTTGTTCTTCGCTTGTTGGCGCTGAAATATTCCCTGGGCAAAGGTTCAACATGTCAGCTGGATGATGGAACTTTTCACAAAAAATTTAATAAAATATAAAAATGCATAAAAAAAATATATCAAATAGCACATTTGCCACAAGTGCTAGGAGCAAATATCTATATCCCAATATTTTTGATTATTCACAGTTTGTATTTACTTTTTTTTTTGGTCAAAATATAAAAGTAATATTGAGTTGAAGCTTTTGAGCGTACGTCATTTCATACATTATTTGTTTGGTAGTAGCCCAGAACCTATTTCCAACTAGCAAAATTGGCTTAACTCGAAACATGTTTATTTTAGTTTGTTTTATTATTTATTTGTAATTAAAATTTTTATTATCTTTGACAATGACCAGAAAAAACTTTCATTGAAAACTTTATGCAATCACGTAAGAATAGTTTTTGGATTTACTACTAAGCTATATACTGTCAAATATTGATTAACAGTGATCACCCATTTTTATGGGCAGAGTCCACACAATTCTGGATTCTTGATTCAACGAAGTCATTCTGAAGAGCTAACACCAATATTTGGTGCTTAGCCTATAGTTAATTTAGTAGAATATTAAGTGCCCAAATTATTATCGCCCAATACAGTAACTACAACGCTACAGTTTCCGTAAACCCATATGAGACGAAATTAATTTATCTTTACAGCAAAATTCATATAGAGAAGGCGTCATTTTACAAAAAAAAATTTTCTTAAATATAATCAAGAATATATTTCGATATCATTTTGCTATTCAGTACTCTATGAGAGTTTGTTAGAGTCAAACTCATTTGGGTTCCTGGTCACAGGGATATCACAGGAAATTGTAGGGCAGACGACCTAGCCTAGGCAGGCGCTCTTCTCCCTAACATTAACCTCTCTGATATAGGCGTTCCACTTGCTACAGTTAAACTGGCAATCATACAAAAATACCTGAGCATAGCCAAGCAATACTGGGCTGACGAACCTCAATGTCAGATTTCTAGGTTGACTTGGCCGAACTTAGACAAAAAAAGAACTAGTCAGCTACTTCAACTAAGACGGAACCTGCTCAGCACTACGGTATCTATGCTGACGGGACACTGCGTAATAGGAAGGCACGCTATGAGACTGGGTCTCCCCTTTAATGACTTTTGTCGAGGTTGTGGATCTGAGGATGAGGAGGAGACCGTACTCCATCTCATGTGTCAGTGCCCTTCCCTAGCCAGAAAAAGATTAAAAACTCTTGGATTTCCTTTTCTAACTGACCTGACTGAGTTGTCATCCTGTAATGTTAGGGACCTAGCCAAGTTCATAGAACTGTCTGGTTGGCTTTCCTTTACCTAATAGTGGAGTCGTTACCCTTCTTTGGCGTTGAATGTATACTGATTACAATCTATATACAAATCAACATAACTCCTGTGGCACCACAATGGACCATTATTTGTGCTTAAGTGGGCTTTTAGGGATACAAGGCCGCCACTCCAACCTAACCTAACCTAACTCTATGAGAGTAGTTTTTAAATTTATTTCTGCCATTTTATTTCATAAAACATTTGATACTTATTAACTTAAGTTAGAAGTTCATTTTGAAACATTCATGTAATTTAAGAAACTTTTTTTTCAATTTACTTTAGTTTAGGAGTTTACCTAATAAACTTCGATGTGGCGGCAACGGTGACGTGGAAGATCTTTGGAAAAACTTTTCGAAATCATTTGCACTAATAAAGTCAATTTGGCAAAAATTGCTGTTCCAGCTAATTTTTTCTATATTTTTTGTATTTACTGTAAATTTAGAAATATTTAGAAAATTCGTGGGCGTGCCATTTTCTTCTTTTAACTTTGTCGTTCAATGTGTGTTGTTATATGGGATAGACGAAAAAAAAAACAGATTTTTGTTATATGAAAAAAAAAGAATCCAAAAAATTAGTGCGAAATCACGTACACTTTTCACATGTAGAAAAAAAAAATATTCCAGCTACAAATTTTGACCATAAATTCAAAATTGTTTCGAAGCAAATCCAAATTTGTCACGAATTTTGCTGTTCCGAACGGTCTGGAAATACGTTTGTGCTGTTTTAGCAGTACAAACATACGAGTATTGTCTCTATTTTTTAGTAAAGCGTAAAGTCAGGCAAATACTAACAAAAATAGAGTAATTCCATTATTTTGTACAGGTACTCACATCAGGTAACATATCTCCCCTTGCAAACCTTTACCATATAGCTTAATTGTTGTTTAATATTTTTTAAAGTATCTTTATTGGTTGCTAAAATGGTATCATTTCCATTAATTATTATATATACATTATATAAAATTTTTGTTATGATTATATGTCAAGTTTGGATGTGATTTTCCAACGAAATTCGTTCTCTTCCTAAAAACCATTTCTTGCCAAATTCCTAGACATGAATTCGCTTCGAAATCGAATCGAAGATATGCGTACAAGTCAACACCAATCTTAGAAAAAGTGTAGAAATAGAAAATAATGGATTGAAGTGGTATTTGCTATGAATATTGCAAACTGAAGTTAACGATTAAAAATCTTCAGAACAGAAGCAAAGATAATAATACATATAATAACAGAGAGAGATACAACAGAGAGAGATATAATAACAGATACAGCAATATATAACAACAGACACAATAACATAGAATAACGGATAAGATGAGATAACAATAATCGTCGTTACTGATGGGGAATAGATTGGCATATATACCACAATTGAGTACGGTACTCTTATGCTTGGTATATAATAAATGAACTATAACAAAACGGCATGATAAAGAATTTAGTCATTTATGTGCAATATAAAATATTAGCTTTCGTGAACAAATCAATCTATATATTATAAATGACAAACTTTAAAAAAACTTTACCGGAGAATATATAAGATTCGGCAGTCAATGTTTATTCAATTTTTTGGTACAAAAATGTTATGCATACAGTCAATGCAACGTCAAATTTAAATATTTTTTTGTAATAATAAATTATTGTTTTAATGATTAAAATTATTTAAAAAATAATTTTATTTTTTTAAACGGACTAATTGGTCAATACTTAAATAATATTTTTAATAATTTTTTTAAAAAAATTTACTTACAAAAAGTTTAGATATATTTGTAATTTACACAGAGTGCATCATAAACTTAGTCTATTCGCAAAATTGTTACCACATATTCTTTCCAGTTTATCGCTATGTAGCTGAGCTCGCAACCGTTCTCTTCAAAGTTACTTTAGAACGACCTTCCCTACATAGAACCTTTGGGTTGTATTCTATTACAGCATGAGGTAAATCATTGATTGGTCTTCTAAGCGTGTGACCTAGCCATCGATAGTTACGCTTTTTGTTTTATTCTTCCACTGGAGTTGTTCTGCCTTTCTGTATAACTCCGAAACTTCTGTTCATAAACGTTTGTACTTTCTTAATATTTTTGTTTCGGTAATAGACTATGTCTCGCAGCTATATAAGACAGTCGTTTTGACGCATGCATTAAAAATATTAAGCTCAAACCTTATTGTATTTATTTAAATCAATATTTCGACTTTTTTATATAGTCTTTTGCTTTATATATATATAATGCAAATTAAAAATATAAAAATTATAGAAATTTCGCGAGTTTTATCACATTAGTCAAAGTTGGTCCTATTCGATTATTGGAATTAATGAATAAACCCCCACGAATTAGTAATAAATGTGAAAATGAATGTCTTTTAGAATCAAGCATTGATATTATAATGTAGATAAATTCACATATCCATAAAGAAGTACCAAAATAATATTAACACAATAATGTTGATAATTTGGATTTGACTGCTTGCATAACATACCTATCCTTACGGTCATAGCCAAAAACCACATAAAACTGCTCTGAATATATGTCTTATGAATGTCCTTATAACATTGCTATAACTTATTTTTTGATTTTTTAATTTCTTTTTTCATATAGTAGTCTTTGTTTTTTATATTAACATTGACTTATAAAATGCATTTATAAATTATTTTTAAATTCTGATTGTGTGTTTCGTAAAAAACGTTCTGAGCGAATAAATTTTAATTTATTTATTACTTTTGCTTGTAATTCGAAATTTATTCAGTTTTTTTCTTTAACTGGGAATTTTTTCGAAAATTAAAACAATATTTAATACCGTCAACGTTCACATTGGCTTAAGTACAAAAATTTGTATGCATTTTAAATCGAACGCCCTTAGACTAAAGAAGGTCTTTATGAGATTTATTCCCTGGTAAGTTAAATATTCAACTGTAATTTATATAATAATATTTAAAATATATTTTAGTAGTATTGAGTATTATTTTATATATTGCTTATTAGGTACAACTTTTTCTAAACGTATAGTACAAATATCATATTAACTTAGTATTGTTTAAGGTATAAACGCTCTAATTGCTTTCCAATGCTCTATTTGTAACTAATCATAGACTCTCAGTGCGTTGCTCAATTAGACTGACTGACACAGCACTTAAACCTAATATAGTTTAAAATCACTCTCAAAATCATCAAAATGTTAATTATTTACTAAATATTTTGTCTTTCGGAATTAAGTTTATAAGACGCAATAATTTGTGATATATTAAGAATAGCTGCTATCGACTGCTTCATATTTTCTATTGTACCTTAAAGTGCAATGCCCTTAGTGTTATAAAACGCCATTAGCCTTCAATCGTAGCTGGTATTACTTTTTTGGTTTTATTGTTAATGTTATGAGGTTCTTGAATTACTGCCTAACTGTTCGAAATTACCCTTCAGCTTCAGCTTCGTGAAGGAAGCCAAGGGTAAGGATAGGTCAGTCAGTTTTTTGATTGACAAAGCATTCTTGTCCACTTTGATGAGTTCTGATGGTCTCCAAAATTAAAAACTGAAGAAATATACTTTGTCGTACCATCAAAATTGTCGGTCGCGGTAGAGATAAATTGATCGATAGATAAACAGATATATAGATAGATAGATAGATAGAAAGATACATATATAGTTGCGATCCTTTAAATAATTTTAGTAACATAATATATTATATATTAATTTATAAATATTTTAATATACATAGTTTGATTAATATTAACTTAGTAACATCTTTTTTATTGTGTTTGACCATTTCGATTTGATATGTGAAATTAAATTTTTTTTTTTCAGTTGAAATAGATTCTTGAGAGCGTTACGATTTTATTCGAAATTTTAAAGGCCGTTTATGCTAAATTCAATATTGTAAGTACACTTTTTATCAGTTTTAATTAATTATTAATTTAATAATTAATATAGGAAGATATAACACTAAATTCGTGTAAATTCGAAATTCAAAATAAATTAAATTGATCTGACTGCTTTCTGGTAAGTTTATTAACTTAAATGCAAAATGTCTTTAAAAATATTTTTCAAAATTCCCAAAAATTCAAATTTTATAGCAAACTGAGTAAAACCCTTCCATGCCCTATCGGTCAATATATGTCTGCTATATTGGAAGTTGTTATTAATTTTATACAGTACTGTTGTCTTCATATTGAAACTGCGAAAGTCACTTGAGAATCTTTGTAATCATCTATGTATTTCCTTTCTATCTGACACTGACACTGCTACATTTATAGAATGAAAAAGACCCTTCGTTATATCGAAAACGATTAATGATATAATATTTGTATTGAAATAAGTCTTAATAATATCAACTTATAGTGCACTAATAAGTCGAGGTAAATCTTCAAGACGATTGCTTATACATATTTTAACCAAACATTGTTGTAATGATTAAAATTCGTGGAACCACTTCGTAGAACCCCTTTGAATCTTGGTGTCAGATCTCTACGTATCTATTCACGTATCAATTCTATGTATCTATAAAACGTATCTATCAGCTACTTCAATTAAGGCATAACCTGTTTAGTTTTTCGCGGCTTGTACTCCAATTCATATTTCAGTGCCTATACTTAGCTAGTAGAAGATCAAAAATCTTCGGGTCGCCTTTTTTTACCGAACTGACCAAGCTGTCTTCCTGCAATAATAGGGACATAGCAGAATTTATGAAATCGTCAGTTTGGTTTAGCTTTAACTAATGGGGGAGTCATTGCCTTTTTCAACGTACTTCCCTTTTAGTCTATGTACGAATTAACGCTATTCGTGTGGTGCTAAAACGGGCTATTACTTGAGTTTAAGTGGGTTTTCTTGGATACAAGGCTGCCATTCTACTCTAACCTAATCTTCGCAATATGATATGTTGATACAGTGGGCTTATAGTATACCAATCTAGATCTAGTAGTTTAAATTTGCAGTACTACCACATCGTTATTTATTGTATTAGTACATTTATGGTCGGACTTATTCAGGTCTAGTAGTGTGAATGCACATGATTATCTATTCATTGTCTTATCGAACGTCGTAGTGGTAATAGTTAGCAAATTAGAGTTTTGTCTTTTTCAATTATAGCTCTCCGGTAATATTGAATACGATATTTAATTAAAACAAAAATATTTTTTTATTCCTTTGAAAAAAGAAAGCAAATTAGCGAGTTATTTGATTAGTTGCTTGGGAATATGAAGGCACTAAAAGTCTGCAACATTAAGTTGGATTATTAAACGGCACTGTTCATAACTTGTGTAATATCTGTTAATACTAGTTTGCCATATCTGTCAGGAATTTGCCATACTGTGCATTACAGCGCCAATTTAAGGACACAATGCACGTATATTACTTATAAAAGTCTGACATAGTCATCATTGGCAATATTAAAAGTTTTCATGTTGAAAATTATTTCTTGAAATTAATGCTTGAGGATTAACTTTCAGTTCTTTACTTTAAGTTTGTGGTAAAAAAAGTCCACACAAAAGTTAAAAAAAAAATGATAATAAAAAAGCGTAGAAAAATTGTCATAAGAAAACTGGCAGTACAAAAAAAAAAAAAATCTCAAGCAAAAAAACTAAAGCTGGTGAATCCTTCAGACGTGCTCTTATTGGCATCATTTAAAGGAAAAATTTAGATGGAGGAAAAACTTTTAATGGACATAATGACGACTGTCAACTATTCAACTATGCAATGAAGACACTTTTGCTCTGTTGTAGCTGTTGGCAACTGTGTTGGTAGTGTCGAATACCGAATACAGCACTAACTCCGCCATTGGCACACTGGCACTGCGTTCCTCTCACCATTGTGAATGATGACCAAATTGATGAATTTCTAAGCAATTCCAACATACAAACCCATTCTACTTTATTGTTTTGTTTGAGTTTTAGGACCATTTGTAAACTTATGGTTACTTTCTCAAGCAAGTTTGTGCTCTGCCGTCCTCGCTTCTTGGAAGATATATTATTTTTATTTTGATTTGAATTTTTTTCTCTCACACATTCCAATTCATTCTATATACAAATTCTGTTTTTGATGTCTATGTTGGGGACACACAAAAAATATTTTGTCCTAATTTTCATTTTAAGTTATAAACTTATTCCAAAATTTAAGCAGTTCTTGCTTAGCGTTTCGTTTTATTAGAAAGTTATTACGGCTCGTAGTTGTCTAAGGGTTAGAAGTCACTTTGAGAAAGTAAAAAGGCAAATGTTAATTTAATTTCCATTTAACTGCATTTATAGTAAAGCAACTTTGAAATTAGTTCAATTTTGATTTAGTTCGCTTGAAGTATAACATGCTCTTAATGAGGAATGTGCTAGTCAAGAAACTTCACTTCCAGTAATTTGTTCCTAATTTGTCTAACTCAAACTGCCATGTTTGGATGAACACATTATAGGTCAAGTTGGGTATTAGAGAGCGCGTCTTAACACAAGTAACCATACTTCTGTTCAGAAAAATGCTCTCTAGTTGCTAGGAAAAGATAAAATACTATTGTGTTTATTAGAGATCAATGTGCTATACTTGCTAAATCATTTGGTCTCACAAAGCAGATTCACCTTACTAACGTCGTCAAAACGACTAACAAACGATCTTTTATATTATGTTGTTAATATCTATCGCTCATTGAGTTATCCTCAAGAGCCAAATTCCCCTAACCGTAGTTTTAATTAAACTTCGTACACTAACATTGTCCAGATTAACTGAAGACTATATTGAAACTAACTTTATCTACTTTTTCCGAGGCAATGAGGAAACGATCTTTTATTGTGGTGTTGATATCTATTGTTTATTGAATCGGTCTCAAGTTGTCAACGGAAGACAAGCTCTACTTGCCGTAGTTTTTATTCAAGTTACATTTGTAGATATAATCGGCCATATAGATAAAGTGAAGAAGATACGATAAGTATACCCCTTCTATCACTTTTAAAATGAGGGAACGATCTTATACACAATATAGTTGATTTCAATTGCATATTGAGTTGGTCCCAACTTGCCAGTTGAATGAAGCTCCACTAAACGTTGCTTTCATTATAATTCCACATGCTATGCTTCTCAAATCATCTCGTCTTCCAAACAATGTGATATAGATCTAATAACTCAATCTTAACTACTTCTGTCAAAGCGGTCAGTAAAGAAAGCGATGCATTTTTAATAAGTCTTTGCAGTGCTGAACTTTCCAACGTTTTTAGGCATGTGTCAGTGTTTAGAGTGTTCCAACCTGTATTCACTTATAGATGTGGCAGTGGTAGGATTTTATATAGAAACAGTTGCATCGGATTTGGCTGTTCATATTAAACAGACTTATTATAATATGTATATTATTTATTGAGTGATCGAATTACGATTCTTTATTTTAGAGTTGGTAATGGAACTGCCCACTGGTAAAACAGTTTTGTGCCTGCTTCGCTTTAGAAAGCGTTTGAATACTGCAGAAATAATAAAATATGGGTTGGCTTACTGTAACGTAAGTACAGTATATATGCTACTTACTACTTAGTAATATATATATATTAATATTTATAGGTTTTAAATATTTACTAATTCTAATTTTTTATTATTTTTAATAGAATGGAAATACAACAAAAGCGCAAATTTTGGAGGGAATATCTTGCCTGGTGAGCATGGGTTTGGTAAAAAGAATTACAGCTAATAAGAATAAAAAGGAACCCTTCGAAGAGTGTAAAGAAGATGACGATGCAGAATACGAACTAACAGGAACAAGTAAATATAAATGGTTGGAATCTGATGCTACTAGTGAGGAAGAAACTGAGACTACTTTAAGTAAACTCAAACAAAAGGACTTAAATAGCTTACTATCAATAAAGAAAGAAAAGGATATGGTTTATGTTGATTGTCAACAGCATGTAGAAAACTATCTAATGACTAATACGCACGCTTTGGTTGACGATAGTAAACTGAGAAATATTTCACCAGATGAAAGTAAACAGGAAGAGGCTGCTTTGTTCAATGAAAGTAAGCAGGATCACACAGTTTCACTTGACGCAAGTAAGCAGGCAAAGACTATTTCACTTGATGGAAGTAAACAGGAAGAGCCTATTTCACTTGATGAAAGTCAACAGGAAGACCCTGTTTCACTTGATGAGAGCAACACTGCTGGCTCTACGATTATAAATATGATTAAAGATCATGCTTTAATGATGACAACTCTTTTCAAACGAGAATCATCTGAGAAGATATCAGAAAAAGTTATTAACCAATCCGTTAAAGAGAAACGTCAGCACATTTCTGAGGTAGAAGAAAATAACATATCCGTTAAAAGTGATAATATTGCTACTGATATGTGCAACGATGACTTTAAGAAATATGTACTTGATAGTGAGGACAATACTAAAGCATATGCTGTGGTTCAAAGCAAACAGACCAAGGTACCGTTGGATAAAAAACCTGAGAAGAAGAAGAAAAAGAAGATTAAGCAAGTTATTGGTAAAAAAATCAAATATCATTCTAAAAAGAAAAAGTTATTGGTTGCAAAAACGCCTCTACAAAAACGTTGCATTAATGGTGACATTAAAGATGTTAAAGGTGTAAAAGGTGTAAAAGGTATTAATAAGGATTTATGTTGTAAGAAGCTTGAGAGAAAAATCAAAGGAGCTGTCCGGGGTAAAAATAATCGTGTTCATCCTTTACCAAAGAAGATGGCAATGGAAAGGAATACTCAACAAGAGCGTATTATTGAAAATTTCCGTGCTGTTATGAAGAAAGGTAAACAAATTGTTAATGCTAAAAAGCGGCTACCGAAAAAAAAGCCGAATGCAAAATGTCAGCAAAACAAGTGCGTTATGAAAATGTGTAACCACTGTAAAAAAGTTAAAGTTTACATTAAGAAGGTTTATGGCACTGGTAAGATTCAGACATATAGGGTCAGATTAGGTGATGAAATAAATGCTGAAGATATGAAAACTAATGAGATATATAACAGATTATTTGGTGACACAAAGCTTGATCCCAAGCCAATAAATAAACGTAAATTAGGTAAAAAAATTAAGAATAAAGTCAATTTACGTAAAAGACCTCATGTCATGTGTAATGAAAACGATGTGATGAAAATAGTCAAAGAACTACGTGTCCACTGTAACACACCAGAGGATGGTATATACTTACAATCTGTTCCAGTACCTAAGAAGAAGAAGTTGTGTTGAAAAAATTATTAAGAATAATTAAATTACTTACTTTAACACTGCATACTTAAACCACGAAAGCGAAAAAAGTCTCTTTAGGAACCCACATAAAACGATTTAGGTCATAAAAGTTTATAAAAAGGACAGGTAAATGATAATATATTTTTAAAATCTATATTATGTACAACAAAAAATGTACAGAACAATTTTAAAAAAAATTAAAAAATACTTTATATATAATTTTTGTTCATTTTTAGTGAGATATCAGTGGGATTCAATTCAACCAACTTTTCTTCAAGCAATAGTAATTCCCACAAAAATCTGGGTGCTAATCAAATGAAAGAAAAGAAAAAAAATCCACAACTCAAGAAGCGGTTCTTATAGGTCGGTAGGTTTTCAAAAATTTCGTCAAAACAATTCAGCTTAAAGTTAGAATAAAACGGAATACTTTGGGATACCCAATAAATTAACCCATATGTCCTTACAAAATTGTTTATCTACAAAATTAAAAATGCATAAAAATTAATAAATTGTTGTAAAAATAAATAAACAAATCAAAAATAACAAAAAATCCCAAAACTACTAGTTTTAATATAACCAAAAATTTTTTTTTTGCAAACATATCGGATCTAAATACTGGAAAAAACACAGCGGAGTTTTCGCTAAGTAATTTAATACTTTAAATAATTAAAAAAAAATTAGTATTGCGAAATATAATCGCGTTTCGTATATAATCTGCTTTCTCTAAATTTCTTCTTTAGCTTTTCAGAAAGTTTTCCTGCATCAAAACACTCAAGTTGCTCACTGTGTTTATGAGAGTATGTACTTCCTTTCTTATCGATATTAGAATTGCCATTTGCCACGCCTCAACTACTATTATTATTATTATTATAAAACTATTGTCGTGAAATCATCCACAATAGCCGATATTGTGGCCAGAGAACCCTATTGTGCCACTTTCACTATTGATTACGCATAGCCTTTTAAAGCTTTGTCAATAAAGTCCAGAACTAAATCTGGAGAAGAGCTCTTAAACAGTTCTGGTGATAGAAATTCTATATTGAATAAGTTTTTTCTGTGTGTTGTTAAAGCTGGACAATTGCAATCACTATAGTATTGAACCGGAATTCATTAGAGTATTTTCGTTTAATCTTAGTCGTTATATATTCTGATTATTAGTCATCCAATTTTGTTAGTATATCTGGTATAGCTGGTATAACTTTTAATTCAAAATTCAGGTTTTTAATAAAATAATAACTGTAACATTACTTTTAGCCAGAAATAAGAAACTTTATGAAGCAGAATTCCTAAAAGATCATATATATAATATATAATACAATATACACGGTCATATACTTGTCATATATACAAAAGATATATATGGAAGAATAGCTTTGTGGAATAAATATTCATTATTTCTATCTGAATATTTGACTTCAATATATAATTAATGAAAGAATTTTTTTTCTAATACTTTTAATTAAAAGAAAAATGCTTTTTTCTTTTGACAAGAAACACAATTTAGATGGCTAAATCAGACCACTTGTGGTAGGATTAAATAAGCCGGGCTATCTATGAGGCAAATTTTTGAAATTTTTTGAAATCTTTGAATTATTGAATTAAAATTAAAATTTTTTACGATGTTAATTTTATTTTACGATGTTAATTTGGAAATGCATTACTAAAGCGCATTGCTTTGCTTGCCAATCGGTTTCCTTGTAACGCTTTTTGTGTCCTGCCTGACAAAAATATACATGTTCCGTTTTTCCTATATGTGGAACTCTGGAAATGCGCTTTAAAATAGGTTATGTAGGCTATGTATATAATTCTTTTTTCTTTTCAAATTAACATTTTCGGTACACATCACAGAGACCGTGCACCGAAAATGTTAATTTGAAAAGAAAAAAGTGTTATATACATATCGAGCGCCTTTATAGTTCTTTTTTATTTTCGAGAAGTAAACTATATTTGCAGAAGTAGCGAAATACAATTGCTCAAAATTATTTATTTTACTAAAATATGTTATTAAATCGTCTTTTACGGGAAAATCGGTATTGACTGTGTGTTAATGGTGTGTCATATTAACCCACTGAGCAGGTTTTAGACGGATAGGTAAACCACTGGTACTTCATGAAGCCACTATAATCAAGTGGTGGTATTCTGAGAGTGTGATATAATTAAACTGTATTCATTTACAATTAACAAAGATGCACTAAGTTAACTTTTGCTACTTATTAGACGAAGCTATATATGGTTAACTTTAAGAACCATGCGATTCAAAACCCCCCACCAACACCTTACGCTATACATTGAGCGAGATTCCGATGCTCTTATTATTATCATCTATAAGCCACAGTTACGTAAGCCCGGTCACCGAATTTATCACTACACCATCAATGAGATGGGTGAGACTCTACAGAAACCTCCCCACTCTCAGAGAGTAAAACTGTCCAAATGCACTAACTCGGAAAAGGTTCAACATTAACAATTGTTGGATTAAATAATAATTTTTTAAATAATAAGTCTAAATTATTCTGTATATTTAAAATTTGTAATTTAATGAAATAATATTCAAAGGATAAAATAAAATTTTTTTAATATATTTAAAGGATATAAAAGGAGTGTAAGTTATGAAGACGTGACTTCCTGGTTACTTAATAAAATAATAAGAAATTATATCTCTTGTTCTTAGCTGTTTTGTATTCTATTTAATATTAAATAAAAACGTCTAATTTGCTATTAAGTTTCTTTACACATTTTTTCTTTAACTTTTTGGTTAATTAATTTAATTTGTTGAATTTTTTTTTTTACTGCGCTTAGAGCCTGCATGAAAATAAATTTCTTTATGCTTTAACTAACCAAGCAGTTGCATATCGAGTTCCTTCATTAATTTGTAAATGTAACATAAGACATATTTTTTTTTTTTGAAAATTTATTTAAAATATAAATGAAAATGTGAGAAAATTGAAAATTGTTTTAATGTTGTTAAGAAATTGCAAATTGAGTACATTTATATTTATATTTTACTTAAGGACGAAAGTAAAGTGAGACTTTTGAAAGTTTTGAAACTCTGACAGTAAGTGTAAATTCAGAGAAATATTTTAATGGAATGTATATAGAAAGTATTGCTCACAGAGCATTTCATTTATAAATACCTTCTTATTATAAAGTTTTTTATTTTATTTATATATATTATAAATTATTTAGAATAATTAATTAATAATTAATGTCACTGGTCAGGAAGTTAGCAGAGCTTGTAGAGAAAATTCAGTTTTATTTAAACTGCTTTTTTTTAAATAAATATATTTTTCATTATTCACTTAATAATTAAAAACGCAATATTTTAATTACTACTATAGCATATAGAATAACTGATACGTTTATTCTTTAATATGATATATAACATAGTTATTAGAATAACTGCTAATAATTTCAAATAATATTTTGTAAACTGGATTGAAGCTTATAGGGTCGCTTAGCTACAAGTATACTTTTGAATTCATTACTAACGTGAAGGTGTGGGTTTTGAATGCATATACTTCCTCTCGAACGGACACTATTGGTATTTTAATATATAACATATTTATTTAAATAAATAAATATATCACTTACCTATTTTTTAAAAGATATTCTTATTCTTATATAGCAAAATGTCAAATGTTTCGAGCTACAAAAGTTCTTAATATTAATTAATTCAATTAAAAAAATGCTGAAGACACCTCTAGTAGCAATATCAATACGAAGATAATTGATGAATAACACTTCATCGTGTTATACAAAAAAAATTGTTAAAAAGAATTACTGTTAAGTGTCAATAATTACTAGGCGAAAAGCAGTCAGAGGTTATAATATTTCATAAACAAAATTAGTTGCACTATTGAGGCACATTTTTCCAAATAAAAAAAATTAAATAATAGCAAACCGAGTACACGTAATATATCATTTTTTGTGTAGATTTTAATATTAATACTTCCCTAGAGCATCGGTCGCCTCTTTATATTTTTCTTTATATATATTTCACCACAATAGCTTAGGAGCGCTGAAAGTTTTGCAGAGTAAAGCTCAAATATACCCAAAGACGATAAAGGATATACAAATTTTACATACACATTTTTTATGCTGGTTAATATATTTTTCATTTGTTATGGAGTTTCTGATATTTTTGAAAATTTTTCCCTTCATAGTTTTTCACTTTTGTTTGCTTTTCATTTTATATCAATTAGATTTCTTAAAATAAATTATGGTTCTACGTTCATCTTGTCGTTTTTCATTTTTTTTTTGTTACGGGGAACATTCAGTGCAAAAGAAATATTTCATAGCATAGTTTCTGGCGTCGCTAGAAGCAACGAAAACTTGAAATTTAAGTTCTCGACAATGGCGCACTTATACTTCACTCATGTGTATCACCGCATTCGTCCTTGTTTTCTTGGTGTATCTGTGCATGTCTCTGTGTATGTGTACTTGTTCAGACGCATGTGTATGGGGACTGTTTAGTTATAAAACTGTTTTCATAAAATCATAAAAATGTAATAAATTACAAGGGAATTACACAAATGCGGGTTGTGGAATGGTAAACCAAAACGCAGAGACCGTTCAAAAAACGGAAATTAAATATAAAAAAAAGCCAAAGGAACTCTTCCTACTTTTTTTTTTTTGTTTTTTTGCAAAAGGAGTTTGAAGTTTTAAGATCTGTTTTACGTTCTTAGTGAATTGAAAATGTTGAATTTATGAAATTTATGTAATCCGACATTGGGAAATACTGTGTGCTCCATTCCAAGGTAAAAAACTATTACAAAGTCAAGTAACTTCTTCAAGTAACTTCTTTCCCATAGTTCAATGTACTGATAAAGTAACTTATTTCACTGAGTTTATGTGGTATTAAGCGCACATTAGTTTGGTTTAAGCTGATTAAGTTCAATTAAGTAATTAGATTTTTTAATATCATATCATATGATTATTAATAAGAGACAAGTTTTTCAAATGTGTAAAAATATCTAAAAGCCCCCAAAGTAAAATTATCGAAACAGACCTGAAATTCACGAAGAACTAACTCTGAATATCAAACTTTTTCAGAGATTTTTAAATCGCAGGGACTTAAGAAATTCATTTGAACAAATAAGCAAACAACTAAATAGTAGTGAAGGTAATGGGTCACCACTTCAACTAACCTAAGAAAGAAAAACACCAAAAATTAGGTCTCATATAAGTAGCATAAGTGTATATATTGCACAACTGAGTTTAATATAAATCTGCATCTTAGCTTCACGAACAGTAGAAAGTCTTCAGTATATTTAATCGCAATTATATAGAATAGAAATAATACGGTATTATACGGTATTAATAATACGGCTACTGATAAAATAATACAATACCATGGTTGATCTTTAGTGCTTCCATTTGCCCCTTAGTAAACTGAAGACATTCCAGCATCTGAGTAAAAATCAAAATGTAAGCAGTTGAGGACATCTTAGAAACTGATGCGTATTAGATTTTACGACCCAATAATCTTGGTTCAGATCAAAGTCAGGTAGTAAGATAGCACGTTAAA